GCGGCGGGGGATGGCTGAGCGGCTTTGTCTCAGCGGGCCCCACACGCTGCCCCTCGGGGCCACGCGGCCTGCTCCTGCCCCATCCACAGCCTGCAGGGCGCGGTGTGTCAGGTGGGCCCTCAGGTGGGCCCCAGGGAGGCTGCCGCCCGCGGCACCTGCTTTGGAGCCTGTGTGATGGGTGTGGGGCACCGCCGCTGGCCACGGTCCCTGGGAGCAGAGAGCCCCCGACGCTGGGCTGGGCTCCGCCCATGCACAGCAGAAGCAGGAGCGGGGTCCCACTGTGCACAGGCGGGTGCACCCCGCTCGCCCGCCCAGCCCGCAGGGCAGACGCCCACCGGCCAGCTGGGGCCCCCGGCCAGCTGGGGCCCGACGCGGCAGGAGGAGGCGTCCCCTGGAGGGCCTCTCCGCCGTCCTGTGTCCCTGCACCGAAGCCGGGTCTGGGGCCAGGAGCCGAGCCAAGGTGCGCGGGGATCAACTGGGAACCTGCAGAGCCCGGGCGCCTGGCCCCAGCGTCACAGAAAGGGCCTGACTCAGAGGCAGCGCCTCGCAGGTGACGAGGCCGCGGAGTCACCGGGCGGGCCCTGCTCAAGGTGACAGGTCCTGGGGGTGCCACATGCACGGCCGGCGCCCCCGGGGACAGGCGGGGCATTTTCCACCAGCCTCGGGGGCCGGCCGGCGCCCCTGGGTCCCCAGCGCGGCCTGCAGGCTGCGAGGGCCCCAGCTCACTACTGAGACCTCCTGTGCGCTGCTTGGTCCCAGCGCCCCGGAAACAAACGCGGTGGGGGGGGGGCTGAGGCAGGCGCCCCTCGAGAAGAGCCGCCCCTCTGGGGCGCTGGGTGGCAGGGTCTGGGGAGAATCCACTTCTCGCCCTGAACTGGGGCTGCAAGAGGGCTGGAGAGAACAGGGAGCCGAAGGGAGCTGAAGGGACAGGAGCTGTGGGCGAGGGGCCCGAGCGGGGTCGCTGCTCTCCCAGCCGGGGCCAGCCGGGGCCAGCCGGGGCCAGCCACGAGTCCGAATCCCTCTGGAACCTTGTGGGCCCGGGCAGAGCCCCGCACAGTTCCCGGCAGCAGGCCTGTGGCCGGCCGCCCACCCCTC